TTGTTTGTCGGGTCTTGATACCGCGTGGGTTGCTTGTGGTTGTTCTGTTGATCTCCCCAGTCTGGCATATCGCACACAGGTGCGGTTTGCGATTGTTGCTCAAATGGTAGAGTCTTCAGGTCACATGTCATAGATCATTGGTTCGAGTCTGGCTTGGGACTTTGGGGGGGTTCTTGTCCAGCTTGGCCTGTCATCTCTTCAACGAACCCATAGTTCCCTCTGCATAGCACTATACATATCTGGCCTTCGGGCTTATACATCTCACTATACAGTTACACAGAGCACACATAGCCTTCGGGCAAACACAAAAACATGGCTCGTGAACATATATACGCAGCCTACGGGCTCATACAAACATACATAGCCTCTGCGGACACATACAACTATGATACCCGGCGGGGGGTGGTTATAGTTAGGGTAAGGACGGTAGGCTGTGCCCGTGGGCGCTGGCTTGCCTTGCTTAGGTACTCCTGCTGGGTAGACTCTCTGAATTGGGCCTGTAGAAGACTTCATGAGCCTGACATCCAAAGTTCCCGTACGGCAAGGTTCGTCCGCATCCGCTTCCACTAGGGCTGAGGGGTTGGCCTAGCCTTCGTGCTTGTCACTGCTGTCTGGTCCAAGTTGCCCTCGATACTGGTAGGGTGATGGTCCTGAGTGCTGATCACACTGAGGTAGGATAGTAGGGACAGGGGGTGCACTCGGAGTATTAACGTGGGGAATGGTGGGGTAGGTGGCCTATCCTGTCAGGACAACCATTGGCTGCCGCTGCCAGCAATCACCGCGGGTCTGGTCCTTCTACAACACCCTGGGCTTCTTAAAAAAAGAAAAAAAGGTAGTCACTTTTCACTTGTATAGTGTTCACAGATGCCTACGAGCTGAGGCGCCAGCCTTGTAGAAAGTGCACTCATCGCCAACTCGATAATTTGGGGGCTCGGGGAAGGCCAGGTAGTGCGCCAGGAGAGGAAGCCAGTGGGCCCAAGGAAAAAGGGCAAATGGACTGCGAGTTGTCCTCCCCCTGTGTCTGCAGAGAAGGGGCAGAACGCCCTGGCTCACTGACAGGGTCAAATCTGGGAAACGTTTTTTTTTGGGGGGTGGGGTGGGGGACGGGGTGGGGAGGGCAAAGTTCGGATTCTCAAATGACTGTGAAGAGGTGGGGAGGCCATTTCTTTTCAGGGCAAACTCGAGCTATTACTTCCCTAAATGTATCTGGCAGCAGTTACGGCCATATTGTGAATGAATGTGGTGGCTATAGCGTCCAGAGCTTAGTATAAAAGTCCTACCAAGAGTATACCGTTACTTTGTCAGGGCCCGCCTTCCTTCACAGGCACATTCACACCAATACTTTTCCCAAAAGCTCTGGACTCTAGTATAACATTCAGATTCATTCGCACTTTCCCCATTATTGCAGTCAGATACATTCTGGAAAGTGCTAATTACAGTATGCCCGAAAAATAAAGTACTAGCAGGGATTCTGACCTGTTTATCCCCCCGCCTCTCACGGGACACCAGTACTTGCTTTCAGTGCAAACTCACCGTAGCACTTTCCTGAATGCCTCATACTGCAATTATAGCCAACAACAGCCTGAGGGCCCAGAGTATAGTAGATACTAGAGAGAGTCAAGTGTCACGTTTTTTTTTTTTTTTTTTTAACAACACAGCCCTTTCTATTCTGGGACGCATCAGTGCGGTTACTCGTCACCGGTAAACGAGTTTTTACATCCATCCAAGGGAGGGAGGGGATCAGACAAAAGGAAAGCAATGGTCCCACCCTTGTAGTACTATACATCTACCAAGAGGGGGACCGCTACAGAACATCCCACCGCCCAAGCCCTGGCCTTTCATAGGGGGTTGGCCTGCAGGCTGGGAGGCTTACTAGCAGCACTATTCTGGGGGGCATCAGTCCGGTTACTCATCACCGGCAACGAGTTCTTTACATCCAGCCAAGGGAGGGGGGGGATTAGACAAAAGGAAAGCAACGGTCCCACCCTTGTAGTACTAGACATCTATCAAGGGGGGGACTGCTACAGAACATCCCACCCCCCAAGCCTTGGCCTTTAATAGGGGGTTGGCCTGCAGGCCAGGAGGCTTACTAGCCGCACCCAGTCACACAACAGGTCAAAAACCACAGAGGCCAGGCGCGAGGGGAACGCCTCTCTGACAATTCCTCAGGCCGCCTGTAGACCAACTGATTTCGTACTTCTGGGGGAAAAAAGAGCTACCGATTCCGTACCTCTATTATCTTTAGAACCACTACCATCCACTACCAACCCCATTACCCGTTCTCTACTATTATTTCATTGTGCCTTTCTTTTTCTTTTTTCCGTCTTTGCAAATTCAGTGCTGCTGCTTTGACGACACTGGCGCCTTACCATGTTTTCAATCTCATCAGCATACCAGAACTTTCTCAACCGCATTTGCTCGTTATTGGAGCCAGATACTTCCTGGAAAGCTTGAATGTGACTAGGAAGTTTCACCATAGAGTTGGGCTGCAATTGCGGCCAGATGCATCGAGCCAGTGCTGTTGCTTTGAAACTGGTCGCAACTGCACTACGCGGGGCGCAGAAGCCGCACTACGCCCTGCCATGCTAGCAGGGCAACGAGAATCAGGAAAAAAAAGAACAAAGGAGAAACCTAACTCCTTACCTCTTTTCTATGATGTTGCCTGTTGAATCTGGCATGCGAAAGAGGCCAGATACATGGACGGACTGGCTTGCAGGAGAGTTTGGCTGGGAGTGGCATGGATGAGTGAAAACACCGGCCTCCTGATCGTTCCATGTGCTGGCAGCAGGTCCACCACTCCAACCGAGAACGGTTGGTACGGTACCACCCTCAATTTTCCAAGCGCTTACCTGTCGGCAAATTGAAAATTTAGGCCCGCACATTTCGCCTCAGGCGTACTGGTGGTGTAAACCACATATCAGCCATGGGGCCCTCGTCGCGACTTTCGGAGGCCGGAGGTTTAAATAAGCCGTGGCAGCAAGTCGCTTTGAGGCTCGGCAAAATTAAGAAATGAGGTTCGTACGTCTAACCTCGGATGTACTGGTGGTTTAAGTAAGCCGTGGTAGGAAGCACGCGGTGAATCAATGTTATGGGATGAAAAAATCAGCAGAGTTTGCAACGCCAGGTGTCAGTCTGTCAAAACAGCAGCAAGTCCCAGGAAGGCTCACAGAAGCAACAAAGACTGGCAGGGCCACCATAACTACCTTCTTAGCCCGAATACAACGTAATAAGGTCATTATAGCTGTATCTGTGGTATCCGTCAGTCTAAATACAGCTATAATGACCGTACGTTGTATTCAGGGAATGGCGGTAGTAGCTACAGTCGGGAAGGCATGTGATAAAGCCCAGATGCGGAGGCAATCAACACATGTTCCGTTTGTGTGTTCGGGTGAAAACGCTTCTGTGCTATTTTGGTATACTTTGGGATAGTGGAGGCGTGCTCACAAGAGGACTTTTTCACTTATTTACGGACGTAACTGCCATCAGATGCATCCAGGTCTGGCGGTAAACGCTGTCAGATACATTTAAGAGAGAGCTCGTGTGAATATGTTCTGAAGAGGGTGCTGATGGGAAATACTGCCGCTTGTGCTATTGCATGGACTCTGGCTGGTAGTAGCAGTCTAAAGTGGGTGCATTTAGGGATCAGCCATAGCCGGAGCGAGGTGGCGAGGGATAGCATAGCAAACGTCAAAGGTATTCAGCGAGGGAGACATTGGTTAGCACAGAGGAGTGAGGCTGAAGAAAGAGCGACCATACCTCAGAGATCTTGCAGGCGGCCATAGCTGCTCCTTGTGTGAAGACATGGACTCTGGCTGGTAGTAGCAGTCTAAAGTG